GGAAGCCCTGGCTGACTGGCAACTACCACACTCCCTTACCTCATTTCTGCACATTCAGATATTTTCAAAAGCAGGTTTTTATTTTTCAAAGCAAGTGATGTGGCTCAAGCTCTTTAATTCTCCTATCCCAGGCTGGAAGACCACACTTCAGCTTCAAACTATTCCTTCAGCTCAGAAAATTCATCTTCGAGGACAAACATCTGTGATGTTTGTTCTGCAGCTGTGCCTATCACACATGTGGCCTGACATCCATGTTCCTGAGGGAGAGCCATACAGGACGGTTAGAAACCGATCATGTTTAAAAGAGTTTCAACATCCAGAAGTCTCTCACAGGCAAATCTGTGACCCCTACACAGAAAAGACAGGCGGTTAAGGATTCCAGGCATGATCTGATGATTCACTAGCATCTAGCAATCAGGCTACTAGATTGCACTAAATAGTATTTCATCAAGAGAGAGAGTTCCACGTAAAAAAAAAGGAACATAGCAATGAAAACTGTCGTTTACAGTCTCCTGCATACTTATTTTGGCTCCACTGAGATTAAGTGTTCTGCATGAATCACAGTGGCACACCGATAGCTTGGCCAATGCTCAGACAGTACATCAGGGAAGAGAATTGCATATAATAACGCAACATCCTGTTTGGAGGCTTAAGAGGCAAAAATCTAGCAGTAATCACTTCCAAGGCTAGTAACTCAGTTCTTATTGCCTTCATAATGACTCCACAGTTATTCAGTCAATGAAAATGGAGTCTGATATTGAGCATCAAGAAGATAAATTAACAATAAAATGAGTCTCACTCGTATATCCACAGCCTGCTTTAGTTGAGGCCTGCAAAGATACAATATGCACCTTTAAAGCACGATGCCCTCCTCTTTAAGGTGCTGAGATGGTCGAAAGGGAGGCAGGAGCAAAGCTTTTTTTTTATGAAATACTGGCTTGCTTTCCTGAAGGAAAAAAAAAAAAAAAAAGCTTTTAAAATTTAGTAAACAGATTTTCCATTGGAATTAATAAATAGTTCCTATTATAAATGCCTTTTGGTTTATCCATCATTTTGGCTAAGTGAAAACACAACAAAATTCTTTTAGGGGCTTCAGATTTGGCACTAACACCATGCATGAAGTGCCAAATGCCAGGATTTTTGCCTTATTACTTTTGGTGTAAGATCCAGTATTCCAGACAAACATACTATATTTTAATTAATTATAAAACCAAACAGACACCCCCAAGCAACCAATGAAACAAACAAAAAACCTCCAGAATTGACATAAAGCATACCAGGCAAACTCAAGTAAATTTAATCTTATTTGATATAAGATTCCTTCCGCCTCCCGAGCTGCAGGCAGTTCTCTTCTGTATCTCAAGTCATGCTGGAAAAAAACTCTTGGCTGGGGACCCCAAATATCTTATGGTCAATGGACACATCCCCTGAAGACTTGCCTTACTTCTAAAATGGAACACCAAAGATTTTACAACTACAGCAGTTGAAAAATCCATCCATAATAAACCAGGGGGTTATCATCCATGGCTTAGAAATTAAAATACTGAGCTCATTCTTTAAAATCCATCTTGTTAAAGGTGGTTATAAGACAATAAATAAAGGCTAACAAACAGAACAATCATTGTGTCATGTCTAAAATTAGACTGCATGGTATTCGCATTGTCACGGGTTGTGGAATACTCAAAGGCTATTCTTGTTTTAAGCATCATATGTATCTTTATCAGTTTGATAATTACAGCTAGGTTCAGTATATTGCTAGTTCAACGGGTAAACAACAGTATAAGTTCTTACAGGAACAAACAATGGAGTCAGTATAAAGAGGGATAATTAGTACATATTGCAACACTGAAAAAAACCACAAACAGCAAGTCGTCTTAAATTCCTGAAAGAAACAGCACAGACAGAAGGAGAGCATTCTCTCTGTTCATCACTGCCCTCTGGATGGAGGTACTTGATCCTGAAACCGACTCACTCAGTTATCGTATCCTCACCTGCACAGCCAAAAGCAGCCTCGTTGGCAGTGCCCTGTGGGAGATGCAGCAAAGTGCCAGCAAAGGAAAAGGGATGGGAACATGAAGCTGGGAATGAGAGGAGGGGGTGGGAGAAGTCAGGATTTAGATCATTTGAAACTGCCATGGAATCGCACCTTACACTGCTTAAAATAAGAAGGCTCATTTTGGAAGAAATGAGTTAAAGAACGATCATATGAGTGGCAATCCGGGTAGGCTTGAGAAAATTTCATCCTCCGGCTGGAACAGTGACGAGGAGGCAGGGACAGGCTGAGGAAGACAGAAAGCTTCAGCTTAGCTACACCTGGCTAAACACAGTTCCCACCATGCCTGACATACCACCTGAAACAGCATATAGCAGAGTGATTCTGATCAGGAGGAGATTAAATTAAGACAGTCCAGGTTAAAGTCTAAAGAAATTCAGCCACGTAACAGAGAGGAGGGAGAAAAACAATGCCCCTGTATCACTGGATGAAACCATAAACTGAAACTGAGTTGGAAATCTGACAAATAATTAAAACAAAGACACAGGATCAAAAAAATGGAGCTTTGAGACTGTCCTTATGGTACCAATATGCATAATGTTTCTTGAACCATCTGTGTAGTTCGGCTAATTTCAACCAGCTAAGCATTTGTAGAATGTGTGGTTTGATCCACATGCAGAAATATTTCACTGAGCTGGGAAGTGATAAATCATAACACAAGTCTGGTGTGACTCCTTCAGAAATTCCTTTCTGAGCTCCTGTTACCATAATGATGCTAATATACTGGAAGCAGATCCCACAAAGAGAAACAGAAGTTGGTTGCCGGATAAAATAATAATTTAGAAGATCTAGAAGCACCTGAAGTGTGCATGCACTCATGGGTGCTAAATAGGATGCTAAATCCAAGAATAGCAAAGTGCAAATTAGGGCAGAGATCATTTATGAAAGCTTTCTGAACAACAGGATAATGTAGACCACGCAACAGCTTCACAAGAAACAAGCAAAGCTGCTACGCGTGGCAACTACTGAGGACAAAATAATACCCTGGCCTAAGGGAGGACCCTGAGATAACGGATCCATCCACATCTGTTCCTGTGCTTGATAAGAGGCAAGCTCAAATGAGACAGGATGGCTGCTAAACAAACATTAACTGTGACAGGAACAAGCCTCTAAGAACAGTAGTTGTCACCTTCTACGCGACCTCTAATATTGTAATTGCCTTATCCATTCGGTTTGGTTTCATGCACGCCTCCTTGACCTCAAGTCACTTTTCTCTTACAACAATGGGAAATATATCTGCAGTTTTCCTCAAGTACAATTGATTATAGCATTCCTTGAAATGCCAGAAAATTGGCTCTCCTTTCAGACCATCCACATTTTTACACAAAAGCATTTCCAGAACGGGTTTCCGCTGCCACAGCCGTTTTGTAGCCAGAAAGAACAGGCTTTTTTTTTTTTTTTTTTTTTTTTTAAGTGACAATAATAAAATGTAATAAAAGGGTGACACATCCCGAAGCGCTTAAAGCTACTCCAATCAGAGAGGTACGGAGGGGAGGACAATCTTTTTCCCCTAGCCCTGTCAATCACCGTGTTACACCATTAAAGGATCAGCTGGCTCCAGTAATCTTTTCTGCTTACTGCCACCGTTAATGCTGGTGGTGGCGATGAACACCAATGACGCAGAGAGCTTCAGATCTTAACAAAATTTAAGGTTTCCCAACTTCGGTTTGGTCGCTCTCAATTTCTTCCAACTAATGCATTTTCAGTCTACCTCTGTTAGAACTAAATAACACCCCAAAAGTCCAACCAACCAAAACCCCAAGTCAGGCACGCACAGAAAACCTCTCCAGCTGCAAACTGGGAGAGGAGAGAAGAAAAAAAAAAAAAAAAAGCGGCTATGAAACACAACACCGCTAAATATATGACAGCGGCTCATTCTGCGAATCTAATTACTGCTCGCAACCAAGGTGACTCCGTGGAAAAAACTTCCCGGGGCGGGGGAGCGCGGCGCGGTGCCGCCCCTGCG